CTCTACCCGACATGGATTAGCTCCACTGGTCACGGCTTCTTACTAGAACTCCGAGAATTTTCTCACGAAGCTAGTCACTAGTGAGCACATGCTAATTACTAGTATAGGGGTTGTGGAGCTCAATCAAAAACTTAATAATCTCCACAACTCCTATACTAATAATTGAATATTAGTTCTGTTATTTAAAAATGAAGAGCTCTTTACAAAGCCTGAAAGTTCTAAGATCAGTCTTTAATACAATTCTAGATGTATATATATATCACTAATTTCAATAATTGTCTAAAACCAATATCTTAACTAGTATGTTTTAAACACGTTTAGTTATATAGTTTGTTGAGTAACGACTGACAACTTCTTTAAACTTAATGATTATCTGGTTAGTAACCAGTCAATTATTGAGAAGAAAATAACCTTGATTTAAATTTGACCATTTTAAACTATTCCCTATTATAAGCAAAGATGGATAGTGGTTAACAGTGGAATGCAGAAGGCACGTTTCCTCCTATTTGACACTGGTCAGCTGCACGTACCTGCATCTCACAGTTGATGTTCACTGTCTGGCACTCCAACCCAGCATCATTCTCTTCAAACGCTATCGCGTTATCCACTCAGCTACTGAGTGCTCACAGCTACTTGTTTGTGCAATCGGGTGAAGTTGAAATTCACTTGGTATTGTTTTACTCGAATCTTCCGATCGATGTTTAACACTGTAATGGATCAGTCTCTTATTACTGGCATATAGTGCATATAGTGAGACTGAAGGCCCTGGGTTCGAATCCTGCGAGTGGGATCGTGGATGCACAGTGCTGAGGAGTCCCATAGTAGTTGTGCAACGAAATGTCTTAAACTTTTCACAAACGCACCTGAATAGGTTATGAGACTAATAAGCAATAATGATGTGACAAAACAAAAAAACAAAGAAGAAAACAGATAACTTGTTGAAATATCTAGATGACAGGAACAGGCAGTCCAGATACTCAGACAGGTCACCTTAGATTGTATGGATAGAATCAGTATAGACTATTTTAATCTGTTTATCCAAAGTTTTAAGAGGTGATTGAATATATATATATATTCTCAACCAACTCATAAACTTACACCTTAATTAATGTCATTTGATTGTAGTATAAAAAATTGAGTATGATTACGTAATAATAATAATAAGAAGAACAACCTCAGATTATATGCTTGATGATGGTAACAATCATCATTTCACAAACATTTAGTATACATTCACTTGGTATTGTTTTACTCGAATCTTCTCATTGATGTTTTAGGACTGGAATTGATCAGTCTCTTATTGGCATATGTGCATACTGTGCGTATGCCTCGATATTGCCTTGATTTACAAGCATTATTATTGGCAAAGATGGATAGTGGCTAGCAGTGGAATCCAGGATGCGCGTTTCGTCCTGTTTGGGACTCGTCAGCTGGAAGTACCTGCATCTCAGAGTTGATGTGCACTCTGGGACTCGAATTCTGTACCATTTGGTTCAAATGCCATCGCGTTATCCACGAGTCCCAAACAGGACGAAACGCGCGTCTTGGATTCCACTGCTAGCCACTATCCATCTTTGCTTATAATTTAGTATACAGTTTGAAAATCAATGATTGAGAATTTTGAATAGACCATTGAATTCAAACTATACCTAACCCAGAAACTCGGTCTACATGTTTTCATATCATTATTTGAGGGTAGCAACTAGCAAATGTTATGCAGAATGAACATTTCGCGTTTAATCGAAATAATCAATTAAATATATTTGTATCCTTGTTTTAGTGTTCACATTGAAATGTGAACAGTGTAACTGCTACTTAGACAATATACCGACGTATACCATCGTCAAAATGGAGATGATCTGTATAAACATCATTCAATCAAACAATAATTATGTGTTTACTACTGTTTGTTTTTTGTAGTGTCGATTGTTATGTTAAACCCACATAGCTTAGTCTAACCTCCAGACAGGCCAATTTATTTATACTTCTTGAGTTACATTTTGACCTTGTTAATTTGTCGCTTATCAACTTTAACTATTTTTATGTAAGTGTGTATGTGTGTGTGTGTGTGTACACTTCTTATCCTATGCATAACTTGTCTGTAACTTATTTTTTGTATAAGTATAAATATCGATTCACGTTTGGCTAAATCGAGTTGGCTCACACGCTTTCTCCAGTACGTGTCATTTCGCTTCACCCTCTCTTCTTCACTTCCTTCACTTCGTCACCCTGATTGTCTGTCCAGATCAATGAGTGTACAAACTTTCATTCTCTTATTTGACTTATTGAATCTCATTATTCACTAACACGATTTAAGTCGATAATTCTATACGAAACTAATCAGCATGTATATTTCAACAGCAATTATTTGATAATAATCAGAAACAATCCAACTGGAATTAGATATAAGGCACGAAAAATCTTTGACATTTATTTGTAAATTCACTTGGTGTTGTTTACTTGTATTGTTTAATTGTTGTATTACAACTGTAATTGATCAGTCTCTTGTTGGTATATGTACATCCTATATGAACTACCTCGATATTGCTTTATGTCATAAACTTTATAAACAAAGATAAATAGTGACTAACAGTATAATCCAATTTGACGCGCGTTTTGTCCTATTTAGGGCTTGTCATCTGGATATATCTTCATCTCAAAATTGATGTTCACTATAGGATTCGAACCCAGTACCGTCCACTTCAAACGTCATCACATTATCCACTTAGCTACTAATTCTTGATATATATATTATAAAATTCTTGTGATTGAGACTATTTACAATTTTCAGAAGGGGTTTTGTGGGGATTTTTTATAAATTTCACTGATTGAAATCATGAATCAATTGAAGCTAGGCCACCATGGAAAACTTGGAAACACTGGACGGGCGTTTCGTCTTAGTATGGGATTCCTCATCATCATCTGCTCACTAGTGACTGACTTCAAGAGATACTTCTGGAGTTCTAGTAAGGAGCCGTTACTAATGAAGTTCAACAAGGTCTGTTATAAGATATCAACTCACTAAAGACAATGGTATACAGTGATGTAACTTCGTAGATTGGTTGAAGTTAGATATCATTAACACCGTTGGATGCTGGCCGGTTCAGTGGTCTATTTACAATTTATTTGAAAAGAAAAAAAACATAAGTTACAAAAACAGATTATTGATTTAATCTCTTTTTTTTTGTTGTTGTTGTTTTGTTTCCCTTCACTACTTCGTTTCCTCCCCCCCCCACATTTCTTAACATGGATACCATTTTGTTTATCATCAATTAAATTTTCTTTTATTCATCTTTTAATAGTAAAAAAAATTGTAAATTGTATACCTTTTAAATTACTTTCTTTGATCTAAGTCAATTAAACGTTTTTGTTAATGAGAAAAAAATATATCTTCAATGGATGAATGGTTTGATGTATGTGTATTTGTGTGTGTGTATGTATGTGTGAATGTGTGTGCGTGTATGTGTGTCTATGTGTACGTCTGTGTGTGTATGTGTGGGTTTACATGTCCGTACAGGTACATAAAAGGGATTTTTTTAAAAAAAAACTTGACCTTTGAAATAAACTTTAGTGTATGTGTATCCATATGAGTTAGATGTACACAAATTTTTCTTTCGTTTGTTTGTTTGTTTGTTTTTTTCAACAAAAAAAAAGAAAAAAATCTAAACATTTAATGAATGAATTAATGAGTTAATTAATTGGAAGTATTAGTAATAATATGGTAATAATAAATAATAAGGATTATTATCAGAAAGGGGGGGTGTTTTAGAGATTATAGTAGAAAACCTGGAAGCACTAAACGGTCGTTTCATCCTAGTATCGGATGCCACTGCAGTGCATTATCCAGGTCTGTTATGAGATATTAACTCATTGAAGACAATGGTTGGTAGTGGTACAATTTCATGGATTGATTGAAGTTAAACATTAACACCATCGAATACCGGCGCATTGGTTCAGATGCTAAACGTTCGCACATGAGACCGAAGATTCTGGGTTCGGATCCTGTGAGCGGGATAGTGGATGAGCACTGCTGAGAAGTCCCATACTAGGATAAAATAGCTATTCAGTGCTTTCAGGTTTTCCATAGTGGTCTAGCTTCAGTTGACTCATGAATTCAATGATTAAATTACTAAAATCTCGATAAACCTCCCTTCTGATAAAAGATATGTTTGTGAATAACATTTTATCCAATACTCAGCTTACTTTAAACTATCAACTCCAACCTTTGTGTTGATAGTTATAAAGCAAAATAGTGAATGAATACGTATAAGCGAAAATTGATACCTTTGAATTCATTTATCTCTGAATATATATGTTTACATGAATTTGAAAAAAGCGAGGAATCTGAATCGCCATTACTTTTCTTGTGTAATAGGTTAACTTATAAGCCATTTGTAAGGAATCACTTACAGTTTGTTAATTACAGTAGTTGATTCATCTTATTGTATGACCCAAACTTGAAACCGATTGATGAATATTAGGAAATTTGTAAAAAGAAGCTTTTTAACGCCTTCCTTTGGTTAATTGCAATGGTCGAATGGTTTATGATACAAATTTGGAAATACTGTGATATGTTGTTTACTGTTTTAGATCATTTTTCTTTGAATTTTCCCATCGATGTTTAGGACTGCAGTTGATCCGTCTCTTATTGGCAAAAGTACTCTCTGTGAGGATTGCCTTAAGTCAAACTTATTATAAGAAAAGATGGGTGGTGGTTAACAGTAGAATCCAATGTGCACGTTTCGTCCTATTTAGGACTCATCAACGGTGAAAATACTACAATGTCCACAAATCCTCATGCTTACAATTAAGGCTTATTGTCTGTATTGAAATATACTACTCAATCATTTGAAAGTAATATAAACTCAGTAGTATACAAAATATCAAGAAATAATGATATACATTATTTCGTTTACATCAAATAATTCCTTTCATTAAATCTACTAACAATGTTTCACTCTAATAATTATAGATAGCTAGAGATTCGACATATACTTTTCATGAGACTTTTAAGTTCTAAACAAAGTTCATATTTTCCGTCCAATTCAAAATCGTCACATAGTGTTTCATTAGAAGCGGTAAATGTTAAAACTTTCAATATCAAATCGTCATACTGTATAAATAAGATGTGTAATTTTATAGTATGTATTACATACGAACCTTAATTAAACAACCATCGCAAACCAGAGTGTACTAGATATATGTTTCATCCTAATATGAGCCTCTTCACTAGTTTGCATACATAACACAATTGAAGATCTAAAGCATGACCCTCAGGTTTCTCAAAGAGCTGATACTCGAATGAATTTGATTACCATTTGTAATCATTTTGATTATTATTAGTAACGATTTTACACCAATAGAAATCAATCATAGTCTTTCAGGAGTTTAATTTTAACATTATTGATTCATAGCTGAATTTCATGACAGTGAATTCTCGAAGTTCTAGTGAGAAGCCGTAACCAGTGGAGCTAATCCATGTCAGGTAGAGACAGGTATCTACTTCAGTACAATGGAAGATGGTGACGCGATTTCATGGATTGGTTGATGTTAGACACTAACACCATTGGATGCCGGCTGAGTGGTTCTGTAGGTTAAGCGTCCGCGCGCGAGACCGAGGGCCCTGGGTTCGAATCCTGCGAGCGGGATCGTGGATGTACACTGCTGAGGAGTCCTACAATAGGACGAAACGGCTCTCCAGTGCTTCCAGGTTCCCAAACGTGGTCTAACATCAATTGGTTCGTGATGTCAATCAAAAACTTAATCATCTCCACAACCCCTATACTAGAAATTGTGTATATCTGTTTCGAAATTCATAAGGTATACCGATTCCTTTAGGATTTCAAATGTCAACACAGACAAAAATTAAGTAGAACGCTCTCAGCCATTTTGTTTCAACTTCAAATATAACACAAATTACACCACTGATGTTATGTAAATGAACTTGATTCCCACAAAAAAACATGTTCTTTATGTGTTAGTAACTCCTCTGATATGTGAGTGCCTACGGTTAAAATCTCACGAGGTGGGGTTGTAGAAGTGTACTGCTTAAGAATTCTACAATGGGATGAAACGGTCATCTAATACTTCTAGGTTTTCCATATTGGTCTATCTTCAATTGACTGATCATCTCAACTATTGAAATTACTATAATATCCACAAAAACTCCTTCTGATATTAATCAACATATGCTCACTAATGACTGGCTTCAAAAGGTATCTCCTGAAGTTCTAGTGAGCAGCCGTGATCAGTGGAGTTGAACCGGTTCTGTTGTGAGTTAGTAGGTCATTGAAGACAATAGTGGATGGTGACGCAATTTCGTGGATTAGTTGATGTTAGACATTAACATCGTTGTATCTCGGCCGGCTCAGTGATATAATAGTTAAGCGCTCACACGCTAGACTGATAGGTCCTGGGTTCAAATCTCGTGAGATGGAATGGTGGGTACGCACTCCTGAAGAGTCCCATGATTGGACAAAACATCCATCCAGTGCTTTGAGGCTTTCAATGGTGGTCGATCTTCAATTAACTCATCATCTCAACTATCAATACATATATATATCTAATTTGATTTATTGTTTATTTTTATAATCTTTCTTTTGTTTAAATCTTATAGATTATTTACCAATATCAAATAAACATCCTTTATTATCTGAAACGTATTCCAATAAACAACTCATTCATATCCATAATTCAATATCCATAGAAATACCATTTTCATTACGACAATATACAACACTTTATTATATTATCATAATCATTATTATTATTATAACATGGTTAGATAATGTAAAAGCTAAACCATCATATTATAAATCATTTATATACACAACGGAACACAATACTAATAATAATAATAAGAATAACAATAATAATAATCATAATAATGATAGTTGGAATATGATTGAACCATGGGAACCACTTAAGAAACCAATCGAAAATCAATTGAATCGATTCAATAATGATCATAAACATAATGAATGGAATAATATAAGATTACAATATCAATCCCATCAATTATATCTTTTAAATAATAATGGAGCTAAATGTAATGATGGTTCATCAGCGGGGTATGTTTGCTTATTTATTTATTTGAGATTTTACTTTTTATCTTATATCAGAAGGGGTTTTGTCAATATTATAGTAATTTCAATAGTCGAAATCATGAGTCAGTTGAAGCTAGACTACCACAGAAAGCTTCAGAGCACTGGACGAACGTTTTTTTCCAACTGTTGGACTCCTCAGGAGTGCGCACCCATGATTCGACCTCATGAGATTTGAACCCAGGACCTATCAGTCTAGCGTGTGAGCGCTTAACTATTATATCACTGAGCCGGCCGAGATACAACGATGTTAATGTCTAACATCAACTAATCCACGAAATTGCGTCACCATCCACTATTGTCTTCAATGACCTACTAACTCACAACAGAACCGGTTCAACTCCACTGATCACGGCTGCTCACTAGAACTTCAGGAGATACCTTTTGAAGCCAGTCATTAGTGAGCATATGTTGATTAATATCAGAAGGAGTTTTTGTGGATATTATAGTAATTTCAATAGTTGAGATGATCAGTCAATTGAAGATAGACCACCAGAGAAATCCTGAAAGCACTGGACGGCTAATTCATCCTATTATGGGACTCCACGATCCCGCCTTGAGAGATTTGAACCTAGAATCAATAAGTCTCGCGCTGGAGCGCTTAACTATTAGATCACTGAACCGACCGAGATCCAACGATGTTAATGTCTAACTTCAACTAATGCATGAAATTGAGTGACACATCTTATGTTTGAATGATTAGAATTATCAGATTGGGGTTATTTCAATATTTTCAATGTTTCTTATGTAAGTTTCATTCAATAACTTAAATAGTTTTCTTGTTTATTAAGTTGATTAATAATATTTATCAAGGTGTAATTTACAGTAACGATCTTGTCATTTTAAACCTTGACATTTATTATCTATGTATTATTCATCCATCAGTGTAACTACTTGTGTATGTGGAGTATTTTCTTCTTCATGGGCGGAGTATAGTATCAGCTCCCATGTAGCTGGTGTTTGTTGTCCAACCTGCATGCCATGTGTTTCACTGATTTCAAGCACCGATTCGGATAATTCTTCCGGCCTCTCACATTGTACGAGAACTCCATGTACCTAAATAAATGGTTGCTCTGGTTGTCAGAAGGGGCATCGGCCTCGTGACTTCCGAAGGAACTCGGCTTTCATAATTCTTTTAAATGAAGACCTTCTAACTCCCAGGGAAGAGTTTAAATGGTTCGAATTATTTTTTTCTGGTTAGCTTCTTTTTAGTGAGTTAGTTTTCTACAGGTTGTGGTCGGTAACCCCATGCTCAACCCTTCTCTTTTATCCGGGCTTGGGACCGACAGTAACCCCAGAAGGGCTCCAAGCGGATTTAGTAAGTAAGTAAGTAAGTATTAATCAACCGGTATGTTGAGTTGTATTGCACTGACGTGTTTATATCAGACATTTATTGATATTTCCAGAGTCTGCAAATGAAATATTCGGCGGAAATTACCGACTAATATTCAGTACTTAACCATTAAATGTTGCGAACAACATCATCCATTATCAATTACTTTGAATAAATAAGAAGTGGAATTCTGAAATGATATTATGCTTTAAATTAATATAGTTATTCAGTGTTTGAGTTTCTAGCTTTTAACTGTGTATTAAGTTCATAAGATAAGAGTGATAATATACATGGAATTTACTGAAGGATTTAGAAATTTAGTTTCAACTAAACTAGTCATTTAGTTACCAAAAATGTAATATGTAACTGTTAGGCCAGCTTTCACAAAACATGAAGGAGCCTCCAGAGGCCTTAAAGGAGCCGAAGAGTATCCATCTAATCAGAATTTGATAGGACTTTTTGGAATATCAACGTGGTATACTACTATGACCAACGATTAGTTCACACTCCGTTTATTCCTTCAGGATACTGGAGCCCATGTGCACTATTGGTTTGGAATGAGGGTTTTCCAACTCCCCTAGGTGGACTCTCCATGTCCACCGACCCGGTTGAAGCGCCGGGCATTCGCTTTTTGTCCTCTCAATTTTGTAAACAACACACCCACCACGAGAAGGTAGTGAGTAAGACTTCACTGGCAGAGGCTATATACACGTGGCCATGTGTGGGTATTTCGAGATGGAGCATGGACTCTTCCCACTCTCGGCCGTATCAGGGCATTTGGGGGCCAAAGCTATCAGATTACTCACAATGTTCATCAGATATGAATTATAAAGAAACATATATTTCACAGGGTTAAATAAATCTTATAAAATGAAAAAAAATTGTTAGTTTTCATTGAGAACTTACGTAATCTGAGTTGCAAGGAAGCTGTAAGGCCTAATTGCAGAATTATTTAACAATGAGCATCAATAATTTCATACATAATTAGACTCAATGCCTTTATATGTCATAGTAAATATGATATCTTTACAACATGGGAAACAGAATGTAAACGATTTAAATTTTCTTTTCCAATGAATTCACTGTTGAATACTTTCTAGTTTTATGTCTATGATGAAAGCTAATGTTATAATGTAGAATTATCAAAAATTCATCATCATAAAAAATAGATTGAATCAGTAAGGTTCTTGTTGACTTCAATGAAAACGATTATTTTGTGTTATCAAAAAAGAATATTCTTTGTTGATTCATTATGAAGTTAGATATTTACACCGTTGGATCTCGGCCGGTTCAGTGATCTAAAGGTTAAGTGTTCGCGTGTGAGACAGATAGGTCCTGGGTTGGAATCTCACGACGCGGAATCGTGGGTGCGCACTGCTGACATGAACACCGTTGGATGCCGGCCCAGTGGTCTAGTTGGTTAAGCGCCTGGAGCGAGACTGATAGATCCTGGGTTCGAGTCCCGCGGGATGCGGGATCGTGGATGCGCACTGATGAGGAGTACCATACTAGGATGAGACGGCCGTCCAGTGCTTCCAGGTTTTCCATGGTGGTATAGCTTCAACTGACCCATATTTCAACAAGTGAAATGTAAATGATTGTTATCGAAGATGACACAGTCAGTCCTCGTATAAAATTATCGATTTAAATAGCATTATTGAATAATGCAATTAAATAAGTCAAGTAGGAGAATGAAGTTTTGGATATGTATATTTTGTACACTCATTGATTTAGACAAACGATTGGGGAGCTGGAGCGAGGGAAGTGAATAGGAGAGAAAGGAGTGAAACGAAATGATATTCAGTGAAGAAGGCGTATGGGTCAACTCGATTTAATCAAGCGTTAATCAATGTTTGTAGTCATACAAAAATAAGTTATAGACATGTTAAGAATGGGATAAGAAGTGTACCCACACACACACTTAGATAAAACCAGCCAAAGTAACTCAAGAAGGGTGAATAAATTGGCCTGTCTGGAGGTAAGAATAAACTGTATGGGTTTAACATAGCAACCGACAGTATAATACAATTTAGACTATGTGATAATATTACTAAACAACTGTTTGGTAAATAAACAATTAGTTCAGTAAACAACAGTTATCTAAATTTCTTCACATATTGCGCTCCTCATCTAAAAAATTACAAAATATACAACATAGACTGTATAACTGTTACTTACTTACTTACGCCTGTTACTCCTAATGGAGCATAGGCCGCCGACCAGCATTCTCCAACCCACTCTGTCCTGGGCCTTCTTTTCTAGTTCCATCCAATTCTTGTTCATTTTTCCCTTGTTTATCTCCGTTTCCCGGAGTAATGTGTTCTTTGGTCTTTCTCTTTGCTTTTGGCCTTGAGGTTTCCATGTGAGGGCTTGTCTTGTGACGCACGCAGTTGGGTGCTTTCCTCAATGTGTGTACTATCCACTTCCAGCGCTTCTTCCTAATTTCTTTCTCCACTGGGATCTGGTTTGTTTTCTCCCACAGTTGGTTGTTGCTAATAGTGTCCAAGTACTTACTTACGCCTGTTACTCTACGTCCAGGAGCATAGACCACCCACCATCATTCTTCATCCAACCCTGTCCTGGACAATCCTTTCCATTTCTTTCCATTTGCTATTCATCCTTTTCATGTTTGCTTGTAATTCCCAAATTATTGTGTTCTTTAGCCGTTTCGTCCAATTATGGGACTCCTCAGCAGTGCGCATCCACGGTCCTGCTTCACGAGATTCCAACCCACGACCTATCAGTCTCGCGCGCGACCGCTTAAACTCTAGGCCAATGATAAGGCCGAGATCCAACGGTGCTAATGTCTAACTTCAACAAATCTACGAAATTAAGCAACACGTCCACCATTGTCTTCAATAAGTTACTATCTCACAACAGATTCGGTTGAACTCCACTAGTCATTGCTTTTCACTAGAACTCCAGGAAATACCTCTTGAAACCAATGAGTCCTGGGTTGGAATCTGTTGAGAGGCGAGATTGTGGATGTACATTGCTAAAGAGTTCCACACTAGGACAAAACGACAGCCCATTGCTTACAGGTTTTCCATGGTGATATATCGTCAATTGATTCATGATTTCAGTTAGATCATTAAAAATCTTATTTATTTCACAGGTTGAAATCATGAGTCGATTGAAGCTAGACCACCATGGAAAACCTGGGAACACTGGACGGCCGTTTCGTCCTAGTATGGGACTCTTGAGCAGTGCGTACCCACGATCCCGCACACGCGGGGCTCGAAACCAGGACCTACTTGCTTCGCGCGCGAGCACTTAACCACTAGACCACTGAGCCGGTATCCAACGGTGTTAATGTCTAACTTCAGCCAATCCACGAAGTTGCACCACCGTACACCGTTGTCTTTAGTGAGTTACTATCTCACAACAGACCTAGTTGAACTCCACTGGTAACGGCTTCGCATTAGAACTCCAGGAGTTTTTCCTGAAGTCAGTCACTAGTGAGCAGTTGATTATTATCAGAATGAATATCAATTCTTTTATTTTTCTTATATTTCAGTTATTATTATCGTCCAGCAAAATATACAACAGTAAGTAGATGGTTAATATTTCTTGAAGGTAAGTAAAACTATTTTAGTTTTTGTAATATTGTTATAATTCTCTCTTTTATTACAACCCAGTTATTACTATTGCTTAGTATTCTCGGACATCGATTCACTCGACAAGTCCCCCAAATCAGAACACGGTTGGACAGGAAAAGAGATTATATCCCAAATAACAAGGTTAGATGGAAGTAAGAAGCAATCAAGTGCAATAGGGAAAACGTTAGTATATTTATAGTTTTTCATATGAGAAGATTTCTAGAGTGTTCACTAAGTATTGACTAACGCTGATTGGCTAATTCTTATCCAATCAGAGTGTGCCAACGCAAGCGTGCATTGAGCATGATTTGATCCAATCTATATCCCGCTAACATATAATAATATCTAATTTATGTTTCTAGGTGGCTGGTATTGTTTTGATGAAGAAACATGTATTTTACGTGAATCTAATGCATTTTCATTATTCTCATCAAAATTTTGGCCAAAAACTCGTTCATGTAAGTTTTGAAGTTTGTAATTGACGTTTTGATGAATTCACTATCAGCTTGCTTATTACTTAAAACATATAACAAGTATATGTATATATTACTATTAGTAATGTATTTTCTAATATTGAATTCAATATTGTTCATATAGATCAATGAAAAAACATGATAGTGAACAAGAACACAAATGGGGACAACCAAATGTATTTGATTGAGATCATGAATTGATCGATGTTAGACTACCGTTGGAAACCTGGAAGCATTGGAAAGCCGTTTCATCTTATCGTGGGACTCTGCAGCAGTGCGCATCCACGATCCCAAACACGGGATTCAAACCCAGGACCTTCAGTCTCGCGCGCGAACGCTTAACCTACTGGACCACTCAGCCGGCATCCAATGGTGTTATTGTCTAACATCAACCAATCCATGAAATTGAGCGACCATCTTCCATTGTACTGAGGAAGATAACTGTCTCTACCTGACATGGATTAGCTCCACTGGTCACGGCTTCTCACTAAAACTCCGCGAATTCCCTCATGAAGCTAGTCACTAGTGAGCACATGTTGATTACTAGTATAAGGCTTGTAGAGATTATTAAGTTTTTGATTGAGATCATGAACCGATTGATCTTAGACCATCTTTTGACAGAACATCTTAGTAAAATTTAAGAATCATATAGGAAAAAAACTTCATTTGTAAAATGTCAATCAAATGTCTCAGGTTTCATTGATCTTTCAATTCTACATCAATTATTCTTTGTTCTCGTTGTGCTTTTTTTGTCTTTTCCTATCTTTTTAACTCTTTACCGCGTTAGGCGTTTCACTTTCGATTGATGATATATACTACTTATATCGATTGACATTAGTAGTACACACTACAACAGTTGTGGTGTGTGCTACTTATAGTGACATAAATAGTAGATGATGTTAGTCGTAAAAAGAAGGTCTAGCAGCAGAGAGACAAGAAGATCAAACAGTAAAGAATAGAAACAGAATGAAATTTGTATGAAAATGCAAGAACAATGAAGTCTGAGTCATTATGAGACAATTTGTGGACATTTTGCAAACTGAGCATTTACTTTATGATTGTTAGATTTTATTAACAAGCCCTGTAATTGTATGTTAAATACATTCGATTGTTCCCACCCGTGTTCTGTTCACTACACAGTAACTGTGAGAAGTATATACAGATGGAAGTTTTGAAAATGAGGAATTAATGTTATGATTATATGTTATATTCAGCTAAAAAGTTTATTAACTAAGTAAATTTCGGAAGAGAAGCAAAGAATAAAGAAGTCTTCAAAAAAAGTATTACGAAATAGGTTATTAGAACAACGCAAAATCGATAATTATGTCATCTTGGATGTGGAGATTTAACTCTAACCGATGAGACTATAATTTATGAACGAACCAATCAGATTTAAGATGACAGGTCTTGGATTTGGGCGCGAAATTCATTTATTTCTATGTCTAAATAACGTTTTGGCATTTTAGCTGATATCAGTTTGTAATGAAGAACATAAATCTAAATCCTAACCCTTACCATCTGTTGAGTCGGCTTTCTGAGAACTGCAACGGAGCCTCCAGAGCCCCTAGAGGAGCCGAAGAGTCCTAGTCAATCAAATGTCAACGTGGCGTGCTACTATTGGTCAGTACCATAATATATCTTTTAGAGGATTGGCTAAAATATGATGTTGATTTTACAAAATGTTGACATCTATAAATACCCATGTTTTCTGTACAAAAATGAACCTTGGAGTAAAGTATTTCTCTCATACTTTGTGTCTTCTCTCTTGTGTTCAGGTCGTTGTATAGTTCTAGCTTGGGGGTTACAGAATAGCTTAGGAAACAAATATAGCATTCAATTCGCAAGACTTATCACCATCAACTGTAAATCATCATTCTCATTTAGCCGTTGTATGTAGGTGAACATCTCCAAGATCTTTTAAGTGTTACTCAAATGCCGTCTATAAATTATAGTCTCATCTTTAATCCTTCTAATATCTATATCATGACATATACAAGTAACTTGGCAGATACTGGTATATTTATGTTAACATATTCGAAAACTAACTAAGATGATGGATCTGTATTCTTTTTATCTTACTCAATCTATTGGCTATATTTTTTTACGTATTACATTATGACTGTAATTCAACGGTACTTAGTTTATATTACTTAATAATACTAGTTAATGAATGATTCCAAATCAAGGGGTATTGAATAATTTTATCATTATACTATTATACTTTACAGTAGGGCATATTCATAGCTTCATCAAGATATCAACCTAATGACCCTCATCAATTCATTACAGTTTTTGTCAATATATTATGGGACAATAATCTTGTTTGCAATCAGTGATATTCAAAGATTTCTCAACTGATAACATAGTCTATGTACAACTTAAACTTATCTTCTTTTTGACTGATATTATGAACCGATTGATGTTAGATTACCACTGAAGACTTGGAAGCATTGGACGGACGTTTCGTTCTAGAATGGGACTCCTCAGTAGTGCACATACACAATCCCACTCGCAGGATTCGAGTCTAGGACCTTCGGTCTCGCATGCGAACGCTTAACCTCTATACCACTAAGCCGACCGGCGTCTAACGGTGTTAATGTCTAACCTCAACTAATCCACGAAATCTTCCAGTGCTTTTCAGCTTTTCAACGGTGGTCTAACATCAATCACTTCATAATCTCAATCAAAAACATAATATCAATTTCCACAACCCCATACTGATCAACTTATCTGCGTTAAAACTACTTAAATGTATATATAAATTGGATGCAACTATTATCATCATTATTATGTTTAGAATCATCTAAATGTCTGTTTTTTTCTGTCGGATAATTTACATTTCAGTTGGTGGAATACTTTCATCTGATCCAAATGCAAATCCAGTTTATCATGAATTTCATAGTGTGTAAGTTGAAATCAATTTAATGATTATTCTCCTTTATTGGCATTGTTTTAATTTTGAATATACTTACCTACTTACTTACTTTCATATTTTCTCGCCAAGAGACGCTTAGTTGACTTACGACCTACATTTCTCACTTAGAAATCCTTGACTGTCATTGGTTGACGGATTTTTTTAGTACGCTATTTTGTGGTTCTCTTATTATTATTATTATTATTATTATTATTATTATTATTATTATTATTATTATTATTATTATTATTATTAGCTTTATTCAATATTATATTTTTGGTACAATATAGAATTCTCAGCACAAAGTATTTCAACAAGTTTCCGTTTCTTTCTTCTTGGTCGGTCCTGGCGATAAGTATTGAGTGATCTCCAGTTAGGTGTTAGTAGTTCAGTAAATGAACATCTGAATAATGTGCATTCTTTTCGTTGTATATTGCCAGCAACTACATAGTCTCTTATTGAGTTTTTTGTAACTTTGACAACGAAAGGTTGTACACTTTTCAGAAACGCAGCAGACTTGTTTATGCGATTAATAAACATAATGATATATTAAAACAGACAAAAATAGATAACTTGTTGAAATATTTAGATGACAGGAATAGGTAGCCCAGATGCTCAAGCAGGCCGCCCCTAAGGGTGATTCTATCATTGTATAAATAAGCTTGACTTATATGCTTAGTGACCTCGTATTTTCTGGGTGCTTGTAGAATACATTCTCTACGCCTCATCAAGATTTCTTGATCTAGTTAGCAGAGCCGGAGACAACGGATTAGAGTGGTTTATCGTGTCACTGTATCTTTGGCTTTCGTTCCGTTTACCGAGTAAGGTGAACTCGTAATAGCATTCAAGCATACTTTCTTTTATTACTCCCGATGGAGCATAGGCCGCTGACCATCATTCTCCAATTTCGAATATAAGAAAACCTGAATAATACTTTTATTTTTCTTTCATTTTTTATTGTTGTCTAGTTTCATTCCATATTGTTCAAGTGATTTATGGACTGGGAAAATGGCTAATCGTAGTGGAGGTAGGAGATTTGGTTTTTATATTCTCTTATTTGTGTCTAAAAAAACAATAATTTTGTTGTTGACAAGGATCTAGGGATTTGAACAATTGCTATGGTATTACAAATTATCTACATTGATTGTAATAGCATACAAAAACGAACAGTACACTAATAAAGAGACTAGTACGAAGGAGTAATTGACATTCATTGTGATCTTTCATGATCTTCAGTGGTATCTGGACTTATGTCAGTCTGTAATAAAAGCTATTAACAATGATTAGATGGGTTATTACAAAACCTACTTACCGTATTACATAACTGAACGTTACTTTTGTTATTTTCAATCTTAAGATGTTTAAAAACCTATTGTAGCTTATCATTGGGCTTAAAGTTTATGGGGTTTCTTCAGTGATTCTTATGTTCAAAGGTTATACTGTAGTGAACAGAACACGGTTGGGGACAACCGAAGTTACTTGGTAAAATAGAAAAACCAAATAGTAAATCGTTAATTTGCAAAATATCAATCCGTCATATCAAACCGGACTGTTGCCGTTGCAAACATCAATCCATTGTCTCATGTTTGATTTTTTATGCGTTTTCTTACAAATTGCATTGCGTTCCATCTCTTCCTTTCTTGATCTTCCGCCATCTTCTGCTGCCAGACATTACGTTCTTTACCTCGCGTTATAGACTACTTATATCAATATAAGTAGCACGCACCACACTCGTCCCCCCTTTAAAGCATTCGTTAATTATAAAACTTGTGACTTCAGGCAATATAGAGGCATTCCGCACAAGATGCACATATGCCAACAAGAGACTGATCAATTGCAGTCCTAAATCACAATGGGAAGATTGAAATAAACAACACTAATTGAATAAAAGTTAATTATCTTTCTTTTTTTGTATGTTAATCACCCAAATGTCTTATTTAAACCAAACTGAAAGTATATAATCAAATGTGATATAACTGAACGTTTGCTAAAATGAAAATGATATAGTCGTAATTTACTACAATGTTTACTTAAAACAGATGAGCCTACCACAATTCTCTTAATTACTCTTCTATACTAAACATATTCGTTCTAGATTGAGATCATGAACCGATTGATGTTAGACCAACATTGGAAACCTGGAAGCACTGGACAGCTGTTTCGTCCTATTGTGAGACTCCTCAACAGTGCGCATCTACGATCCCACTCGCGGGATTATATGCCGGCGCAAAGGTCCAGTAAGTTAAACGTTCGCTCGCGAGACTGATAGGTTGTGGGTTTGAGTCTCGCGAGGTGATATCGTGAATGCGCACTACTGAGAAGTCCCATACTAGAACGAAACGTCCGTCCAGTGCCTAAAGGTTCCCCAGGGTGGTCTAGCTTAGACTGACTCATGAATTCAACTGTTAAATTTCACTAATTCTTGTTAACTTCATTTAACACTAATTATGTGTTTATTTGATAAGTTTTTTATGTTCTCCTTATATTATTATTATATCATACTGAATAGATTTCTATTTTCATGGATCACGTATACTGGCAGCTGTTATTGATAATATACCATGGCAAAATGCAGCTTATACAGAGAAAGTTATATTTGCTGGTTCTAGGTAAGAAATTAATTGGTTTATTTTAGCTGTTTATTATAAATTATATTTTACATTTATGATCGAGATATATTTTTATGAAATCAAAATGAGGGTATGTGGAATTTGTAGTAAGTTAATCGTTGAATTCATGAGTCGATTTAAGCTAGACCACCATGGAAAATCTGGAAGAACTAGATGGCCGTTTCACCTTAGTATGAGACTCCTCAGCAGTGCGCATCAACGATCCTACACGCGGAGCTCCAACCTGGGATTTTTGGTTTCGTGCCCAAACGCTTAACCTCTAGACCCCTGAACCTGCATCCAAAGGTGTTAATGCCTAATTTCAACCAATCCACGATATTGCGCCACCGTCCATCATTGTCTCCAGTGAAGAACTGACTAACTAGGATGAAACGGCCGTCCAGTGCTTCTAGGTTTTCCAGGGTAGTTTAGCTTAAATCGACTCATGAATTCAACCATTAAATAATTCTGGAAAAAAGTTTTTCAAACTTTGGTAAAATAACACAAAATTATTATTATAAATGACAAATTTTCAGTAGGAAAATAGTTTCAAAGCATGTCGGCTATGTTCTATAACATAACTAACTCAGTATTATTAATGACAAATAATTAATTTAAATAGTTGAGATCATGAGTCAGTTGAAGCCAGACCACCATGGAAAACATAGAAGCACTAGATGGCCATTCTGTCATTGTGTGGAACTTCTCAGCAGTGTGCATCAACGACCACGCCTCGCGAGATTTCAACTCAGGACCTATCAGTCTCACTCGCAAACACTTAACCTTCAGACCACTGAGCTGGTCGACATACAACGGTGTTAATATTTAACTTCAACTAATCCACAAAATTGAGCGACACATTCACCATTGTCTTTAATGAGTTACTATTTTACAACAGATCCAGTTGAACTCCACTGACTCATGATCTCAACTATTGAAATTACTACAATCTCCACAAAATCCCTTGTAAAATAATTAATCATTAATAATACAATCAAGTTTCATAGAGTAAATGGTTAACAACATGTACTATATGAAGTTGAATAATAGTGTCTATCGACTGAAATCTCTGAAGATCAAATAGAATATAAATCCATCTATTCACTATTCTAATATGTTTGTAGAACTGAACACTTAAGATTTAATAATAAATTTAGTTACGTGACATTCCAATGAACAGAAAATTGTCTTTTTGACAATTCGTGGCGTAATGTACGTCACTTATTCAGAGTAAGTAAATAACCCAAATGAAATTAACACAAGTTAAAATAGCACAAACGGAAACAATGAAGAATATTTTTAATGCAATCGAAATCATAACAAGCATAGATGAACGATGGTTAGCATTAAGATCCAGGACGCGTGTTTCGTCCAACTTGGGACTCGTCAGCTGGATGTACCTGCATCCCAGAGTTAATGTTCACTCTGGGACTTAAATCTAGTATAGCTCGTTTCAAACATCATCGTGTTATTCACTTAGCTATTGAGTACTAATAGCCACTCACTTGTACCACTATCCATCTTTACTTGTAATGCTTATAAATTAAGGTAATATCGAGGCAGTCCACATAGAATGCACATATACCAATAACAGACTGAACAATTGCAGTCCTAAACATCAATGCGAAGATTTAAGTAAACAATATCATGTGAATTTAAAATCATAATAGATCTGAACATGTCACTGTCATTCTAATTTTAATCAAGGTGATTTTGTATGAGATCATTGTATTAATATATGCATTTGAAGGTGGATATGAAAAATACATACATTTGTAATATGGAGTAGTGGAGGTTGAAAGTGTGTGTGTGTGTGTGTGTGTGCGTGTAAATCGTGTGGAAAATAAATGGCGTCAAATGTGGTTATTTCGATAAACTGTAAAAATATTCTACATTGTTTCCCTTTTTACTATTTAGAATTGTATTAATTTTATTTGGGTTATTTATTTACTCTGAAGAAGTAACTTACATTACGTCACGAAACGTAACTTTCTATTAAGTCTTCAATTTCTTTAAAACTATCAAGTTCAACTTTGACAGTGGTACCTATCTAAAATTTAAATCAGGAAGCACTGGACGACCTTTTCGTCTTAGTAAGGGACTCCTGAGCAGTGCGCACCGACGATCCCGCACACGCGCGGCTCGAAACTAGGACCTACTGGCTTCGCGCGCGAGCAATTAACCACTAGACCACTGAGCCGGTATCCAACGGTGTTAATGTCTAACTTCGACCAATCCATGAAGTTGCGCCACCGTACACCATTGTCTTCAGTGAGTTACTATCTCACAACAGACCTGGTTGAACTCCACTGGTAACGACTTCCCACTAGAACTCCAGGAGTGTCTGCTGAAGTCAGTCACTAGTGAGCAGGTGATTATTATTATCAGAATGGGTTTTGTGGAGAGTTTTAGAAATTTCACAAGTTGAAATCATGAGTCAATTGAAACTAGACCACCATGGAAACGGCCGTCCAGTGCTTTCAGGTTTTCCATGGTGGTCCAGCTTCAATTGACTCATGATTTCAATCTGTGAAGTTTCTAAAATCTCCACAAACTCATTCTGATAAAATTTGAATGCTTTTAAATAACCAAATATTTACTGGATGCTACAGTTCAATCCTGAAGAATCGTAAAAATCTTCCCAAAAATAATCCTATCAGGGAAGTTTCATGCAAATTGATCCAACTTGTAGGTTGTATTCATCAAAGATTGATCCCAGATGGAGTATCAGACTTGTTAAGAGGGAAATATTTATTAACAATAGAGTCGAACGATTGTTGAATTAAAGTAAAATTTATTTGGAGTCGAACTTGCCCTATCAGACTCTGATCAGTATCTCTAATGTTTAAATGTCTAATAGGAAAGTTGAAAGTACTACGTATAAATTACTGTAAGTCGTAGGTAAGCACTCTTGAAGAGTCTTATACAAGAACGAAAGAGCTGTCGAAACGCTTTCTAGTTTTTTAGTGTTATTCAATCTGTAGATAGTTAGATTTCTAATGTTTCATGTAAGCTGTTTCTCTAGAGAATAGATAAACAATATATATATCGCTAAACCCTATCGCGCTTCATAAAAAGGAAGACCTAACAATTTATTCAAGATGGATTATGTTGGGGACGTTAGATCCCCAGAACTCACTTGGGAAACGACCTAATTTTGTAATTTTATTCAGAAAGTTTGAATTTTTTTGTTTTCGTGCCTTCATGTCGTCTTTCCCACTGGGAAATATCTTAAATGCTATCGGTCCCTTGCGTCTTTTAGTATGCGATTTGGTAACTCTCACCAAGGACGGTTTGGCACTGTATATATACGTTTTGAATTGTGTTTGTTGTTATCGATCGTTTCTGGCTGTTTTGCAGAATATACTTCCCCATTTCAAGCTTGGACTTCTACCTCTAGTTAGCGGGGCTAGGACGCATCAAATAGCTAGTTCACTGGTTTTTGGTCACCGAGTCTTGTTCTCGTTCGCAGATCAAGTGAACTCGTGATAACTTAAAACCTAGCAAATTACTTATTCAAATATTCACAAATCGAATTCTGTTCGTGTCTCATACCACTAATAAACATTTAAATATCTTCCAGTCTACTCTTCCACAATACAAATATCACATTTTTCATACCTACTAACAGGTAAATGTCATTTAGGATCAGATCTGTTTTACTTTTGATCCGTCTCAAAAAAATTTATACTTTATTTTTTCCAGTGCTGGAGGAATTGGTGTACTTATGAATATTGATAGATTAAGTAGAAAATTATTTAATCGTATTGGATATCCTGTATTAGTTAGTGGAATAATAGATTCATCATGGTTTATTCACATTCCTGCTTATCAAGAAAGTAAATGTGTTAATGCATTTGAATGTCCACCAGAAGAAGGTATTCATCGAGGAATGAAGTAAGTAATGATTATTATTTATTTAAACATGTAAACATTGGTACAATGATGCACCAAATAGATATGCGCCACATAAATCATTCGATGTATGTGAGGGTCGGGATACTGCTCGGGTGCCAAAACCGAAGCAGGTTGTTTTCTTCGAAGGCTACACCCCGAGCCTTTGACATAAAGGTCTAATCCACAAGACAGTGGAGCGACTTCAGGGGATGCAGTCCCATAGTAGACGGTGACTAACAACAAGTTTATACGCCATTTGTTTCCTCATGATACTGGAGCCCATGTGCATGGGGGTTTCCAACTGCCCCAGGTGGATTCTCCATACTCACCTACCCGGTTATAGTGCCTGACATTCGATTTTTGTCCTCTCAATTTCGTAAACAACAGTAATGCCGCGAGAAGTCAGTGAGCAGGACTTCCCTTGTAATGGTTGCATGTACGTGACCATATGAGATCATTTCGAGAGGAAGAGCTAAGTCTCCTTATCCTCAGACGTACCAGAGCATTTGTGGGCAAAGTATGTGTCGGAGGTGGGATTCGAACCCACACCCACATCATGGGTGACTCAAATTGATATATCCTTAATTTAATCGATTTAGATTCTAATGAACCCAATTCTTTTATTTATTGAACAGAACATTGTCATAGTGAGTGATTTTCTACTTGATGTGACAACGGTAAAGTTATTAATTTGGCGATTTTTTTAGAATAAAACAATACAGTCATAAGAAATGGATGATTTATAAGTTATCACTTTACCAAAGTACATTTTTAACCTCATATTTACTTAAAGTTGAATAAATAATTGATTGAGATCATGAATCGATTGATGTTGGACCATCATTGAAAATCTGGAAGCATTGAACGGCTATTCCGTCCTATTGTGCGACTCTTCAGAAGTGCGCACCCATGATCATACATACATGACTCAAACCCAGGACCTTCGGTCTTGTGCACGAACATCTAACCTTTAGACCACTGAGCTGGCCAGCATACAACGCTGTTAATACCTAACTTCAAACAATCCATGAAATTGCTTGAACATCTTCCATTGTACTGAGATAGATACCTGTCTCTACCTGACATGGATTAGTTCTACTGGTCACGGCTTCTTACTAGAACTCTAAGAATTCCCTCACGAAGTTAGTCAGTAGTGAACAATCAAAAACTTAATAATCTCCGCAATCTCATACTTATGATACATTCAGTTAAGAAAAGTATTGATCACTGTATGAAAAACCCTGTTCTTTCATAACATCATCTATTTGGATTGTTTTTGTAAGATTTTACATTTAACACAAGTGTACATGAATATTTATGTTGTATTTGTTGTTTTTTTAAATGGAAGATTTTGGAATCCCAGAATACCGAAACCATGTCGTAAAGCTCATCCAAAAGAAGAAAAATGGAAATGTTATTTGGCACCGTTTATGTATCCACATTTAAAAAGTACATTTATTGATTTATTGAAATATTAATCTATTATTAAAAGGATTTGAATTAGAAATGATGAAATAGTGGTTAATAAAGGAATCCAAGATGTGGGTTTCGTCCTATTTTCAACTCATCAGCTGGAGATTTACCTGTATTCCAAAGTTGTTGTTCATCCTGGAACTTCAGGATTTTAATTATTTATGAAGCATAATTACATTCTCTTAAGTAATATTATACATAGGATTCAATAAATAGGTTAAGATCATATAAAATTCAATTCTAACCTTTGAGATATATGAATCATATCCATTTTAAGTATACTTACCATGTGTGGGAAGAACTCATTGTTTCCATCCCGTTTTCATAGTTTGAAACACACTAAAAGGACCTTAGAAACTAGTTATTTCAACTATTTTACTGAGGTATGTAAATGAGCTATTAAAAGATAAAAGACAAGTACATGTTTCGTATAATCATTAATACAAGAGTTTAACAGTCATTTATAGCTAACAATCTTAATGGCTCAATTCATACATCTATTCAACATGGTAACATATTTCTAGTTACATTATTTATGATTTATCAAGTATATGTAACCTTTTCATGTTTATTTTAAAATGAAAGTTATTATTAAGCATTATATATAATGATGGATAGTGACTAGCAGTGGAATCTTGGACAGGCATTAAAAATTTCGTCCAATTTGGGACACATCAGCTGGATGTACCTGCATCCCGAATTTCACTGCTAACCACTATCCATTTTTGCATATAATGCTTATAAAATTAGGGCAATATCGAGGTAATACGCACAGTATGCACATTTGCATCAATTGTAGTCCTAAATATCAATAGGAAGATTCAAGTAAACAATATCAACTGAATTGAAAGTCATTACTATCTCATAAAATTCTTAAAAGGATTATTGTTTTCAGATCATGAGTCAATTGAAGCTAGACCACCATTGAAAACCTTGAAGCACTGGACGGTCATTCCGTTCTATTGTGGGACTCCTCAGCATTGCGCATTCACGAACTCGCTCGCGGGATTCGAACTCAGGATCTTCGGTCTCGCACGCGAACGCTTAACCTACGGCATCCAGTGGTGTTAGTGTCTAACATCAACCAATCTATGAAATTGCGCGACCATCTTCCATTGTATTGAGGAAGATAACTGTCTCTACCTGACATGGATTAGCTCCACTGATCACGGCTTCTCACTAGAACTCCGCGAATTCCTTCACGAATCTAGTCACTAGCGAACACATGTTGATTACTAGTATAGGGGTTGTGTAGATTATTAAGTTTTTGATTGAGATCCAGCTAACTTGAAGAACTAATTTTTCATAAAACATCAATACTTTCATTTTTTTAAACTGATTTTTTATTTGTTTTAAGCTCCAGTTTATATTGTTCAAAGTTTGTTCGATGAAGCACAAATGCAAATGTCTAAAGTTCCATTACTTACCGGTGGAACATATTCAAAATGGGCATATATACAAAATTTAGGCAAAGAAGTAGCACGTAGTCTTCAGGCAGCTGGGTTAGTTAATTATCATTATATATATCCTGTTTAGCAATTTTTATTTTTATTTATTTAAACACATAAACAATGGTACAAGGAGGCACTAAATATATATACGCCACATAAATCATTCAATTTGTGTGAGGGTTGGGATACTGCTCGGGTGCCCAAACCAAAACAGATGGTTTTCTTAGTGAACCATACCCGGAGACTTCGACCTAAAGGTCTGATCAATATGACAGTGGAGCAACCTTAGTAGATGCAATCCCACGGTAACCGGTGACTAACAACAAGTTTATACGCCATTTGATTCCTCAGGATACTGGAGCCTATGTGCACCATTAATTTAAAATGAGGGTTTTCCAACTACTTTAGGTGGATCCTCCATATTCACCAACCCGGTTACAGTACCTGACATTCGATTTTTGTTCTCTCAATTTCGTAAACAACAGTAATGCTGCGAGAAGGCAGTGAGTAGGACTTCCCTTTCAGCGGTTGCATGTACGTGGCCATATGAGAGCATTTCGAGAGGGAGAGCTAACTTTCCTCAGACATACCAGAGCATTTGGGAACTTACTGAAATTTGATCTCTTAGCTTTTATGTAATTTCAAGGTGAAAAAAGACGAAAACATATTTCATAAAAAGGAAACATCACAATTAAATGTAAGTAAAAGTTATATGTGAAATTTTTAGGAAAAATCTCATCAGTCTTCAATTTATACTCAGGATTATCAAATACACAATGGATTATATCATAAATTTTCTAGAATCAATAACTGACCAGTATTTGATTTTACCTGAAATATATGGAAACATTTTCCATTCTAGTATAAATTTATTATTTTTTTGATTGAGATCATGAACCGATTGATGTTAGCCCACCGTTGGAAACCTGGAAGAACTGGACCTCTGTTTCGTCTTATCGTGCAACTCATCAACAGTGCGCGTCCACAATCCCGCTCGCCGGATTCGAACCCAGAGCTTTCAGCCTCGAGCGCGAATGCTTAATTTACTGGTTAAGCATTCGTCTAACACCAATCGGTTCATGATCTCAATCAAAAACTTAATAATCTCCACAACCCTTATACTGATAATATATTCATGATGGAAAGGATCAAATAGTTGTCCAGTTTCATGAATAACTATTCAATATTGAATTGATATTTCATTGTTTAACCTTCACATTGAAGGTCATCCATTTAAAAAAAAACCTTTTATTTTTTTATTATATAGAGGTGTATTTGCTCCATCATGTTTAGATCATGAGATTTTAACCAAAAAGTAAGTCCTTCATTTTATCAAATGTCACTGAATATGTTGAATAATACAAGTCATTAAAGTTCATAGTGAGACTATAATTTATAGACGACCTTTGAGCGACGCTAGACTGACTTTGAGAGAGTTCACTTAACAACCAGGATTATAAATCAGTGTTAATATTTACAGTTGATAGTTAGGGTTAGGAATTACATTTGGGGTTTTCATCACGAACTGGCATCAGCTATAAAGCCATGAATGAATGACTGAATTTCGCGTCAAAATCCAAGACCTGTTATCCTAAATCTGATTGGTTCGTCCATAGATTATAGTCTCTCTATGTAAGATAATCAAAGTCAAGGGTTATGAAGAATTTTGTAAAAAGGTTATTTAATTTTAAGAAAGGAAGGATAAGGGGAGTATGACAAGTACATGGAACTAAATGTTTTCTATAAAGAACTGATCTTAAAAGTTAAATACTTACTTACGCCTGTTACTCCCTATGAAGCTCAGGCCGCCGACTAACGTTCTCCAACCTTGTCATGGGTCTTCCTTTCTAGTTCTATCCAATTGTTGTTCATTCTTCTCATGTGTGTCTCCATTTCTTAGCCTAATGTATTCTTTCGTTTTCCTCTTCCTCTTTGGACTTAAAGAGTTCGAGTAAGGGCTTGCCTTGTGGCCCAATTAGGTTCTTTCCTCATAATATGTCCTATCCAAGTAAAAGACTCACATTGACAGTTGGTATCAAATCCAATAGATTACAGTTCAAGAGGGATAAAACTTGACATTTAACCGGATCCTTAAAGTCAAGAAACAAGTTTTAACCATATGAAAATTCTCAAACTATTGAGGGAATGGTTACTACTCTCTAATTTACTTAGTGCTTTGTTACAAACGTAATAAAAGTGAATATATCATGGGTTTGTTTTCAAATGATTGTTACACATATTTTCCATCGTACAATATTAAATGGAATCCACTAAATATATGGATTCTTATTATTTAATAGAAACAGAAGAACTATCTAAACAAAAATGGACAGTGGCTAGCAGTGGAATCCTTTGGGACTCATCAGCTGGATGTACCTGCATCCCTAAATAACAATGAGAAGATACAAGTAAAAATTTTGACTTCACCTCATTACACAAGCAGGTGGCTATCAGCACTCAGTAGCTAAGTGGATAACGTGATTGTGTTTGAAGCGAACGGTACTAGGTTCAAGTCCCAAATTAAACATCAACTCTGAGATGCAGGTACATCCAACTGACGAGTCTCAAGTAGAACGAAACATGCGTCCTCGATTCCACTGCTAGCCATTATCCATCTTTGCTTAAAAAGCTTGTGACTTAAGGCTATATTGAAGCAATCCGCACAGGATGCACATATGCCAACATGAGACTGATCAATTGGAGCCTTAAATAACAATGGGAAGATACAAGTAAAGCAACACTAAGAGAAGAACTATGTGGTTGACGATTTGTTCAAAATAATTAAATGCACTCTCAGGTTGATTAGACAGAAATATATGACATAGCATATGTCTACGAACATTTGTAGAAAATGCCAGTGGTTCAACCACTTAGTTACCAATCCCTAGGTTATAAGAATAATCAAAGAGAAATAATTTCGGCTATTATCATTCCATTATCTATGTCAAAAAAGCCCTTTCATTTAACTGGTAGTGGAACATGAAAGTTTACAGCCCCAAAATCTAACAGTAATTTACAACGTTGAAATATGTAATCAGTAAAACAAAAAAACAAATCTAAAGTCAGTTTTCCAATAAAAGTCGACAAAGGGATTCCATAACTTACAATGTGCTGGTTAATTTCGATGTAAACACAAGCATACAGTCAAAGTAATCTGAACGAACGAAAATAAAAAATCCATCGTTGTGATACCCATTTGTACTTTAGACATCATTTTATGATGAGTATTAGTTATGTCACTTCACTTCTATCCGAAGTTTGTGATGATAATGTCGTTTAGAATAACAATAAAAGCTTTACGACCAAATCATTCAGTTCAGAGAATAAAGCTCCATCAAAAGTTTTGTCACTATAAGATTTATTAATTACTGACAGGAGTAGACTCAATTTAGAACTTCTTCGTAGCAACTTCTAATCTTTATAACATCTAACAAAACATATTACGATACCAAGTGATTTAATATAATCACCATATTGAAAATTTATCAATAGAATTTGATCGATTGTAAGAAATAAACAATGTGATATTGATTAATATTCAGTGATCGTATTACATAAACATGTGAAATGTCCTTGGTTTCTGAAGGTAATATAGATTGCTCCACCGTCCATTGTCTCACAACAGACCCTGTTGAACTTTACTGGTCACGGCTTTTCACTGGAACTCCAGGAAATACTTCTTGAAACCAGTCACTAGTGAGCTCATGATGATTACTATCAGAAGAGGGTTTTGTGGTGTAATTTCATGAATCGGTTGAAGTTTTAGACATTAGCATCATTACATGCAGGTTTAGGGGTCTAAAAGTTAAGCGTTTGCGCTCAAGACCGAAAGTCCTGGGTTCGAATACCGCGGAAGAGATCATGGACGTGTATTGCTGAGGAGTTCAGTGCTAAGACGAAACTCCCGTCCAGAGTTTTCAGGCTCTATTATGATAGTTTAGCTTTAATTGACTCATGAATTCAACTAATAAATTACTAAAATCTCCACAAAACCCTCTTTGATGATAATAATAATAATAATGGTAACAGTAAAATTCCCAATAATATCAATAACCTTTATTCATCTCTTCTTATCTCTTTCTTTTAATTTTAAAATGATAAAAAAAATTCAGTAATTGGGTGCATAAAATGATTGGAACAATCAGTTTAGTGAATGCGATCAAATCATGGGATAATGAATTAGAAAAGTAAGTTTTGATTTATATTAGTTTTATCATTATTCTAATTGTGTATAATTTGAAATGGATAAAAAAGTTTAGAGATTAGATCTATTATTCAATATTCCAATGGTTAAGATCATGAGTCAGTTGAAGCTAGACCACCATAGAAAAGCTGGAAGCACTGGACAGCCGTTTCGTCCTATTGTGAGACTCCTCAGCAGTGCGCATCCACGATCTCACCCCCTGAGAGATTCGAACCCATCTGATATTCTATATTCGTTAATATACCATAACAAAATTATCAGTAATCAGAATTTATTAAATGACTTTAGATTATGAAATCCCTGAATATTTATTGTGATGAAAGTTACTTGATACTTTAATGTATTGTTCTAATGATTTTTACAATGGGTCGAGTGATTTGCGATCGTGCACAAATCAAATTCCGACACTATGGATCATTGTTGAACAATCAGTTGAGTGGAACTCGTCATTGTACATCAACTTCATTGGTTATGAAAAGGCATTTGACAGTGTAGACAGGAGGACGTTATGGAAACTTATTCGACACTATGAAGTTCATGAGAAAATTGTCAACATTATCCGAAACTCATACGACCGACTAGAGTGCATGGAGGAAAGCTGACAGATGCATTCCAAGTAAGGACCGGAGTCATACATGACTGTCTACTCTCCCCCTTCTTCTTTCTTCTGGTGGTTGACTGAATTATGAAGACCTTGACATCTATGGGAAAGCACAGAATACAATGGACAGTTCAGAACCAATTAGACGATTCAGACTTCGCATATGACCTAACCCTCCTATCCCATATGCACGAACAAATACAGATGAAGACAACTAGTGTAGCAGCAGTCTCTGCATCAGTAGGCCTCAACATACACAAAGGAAAAAGCAAGGTCCTCAAATACAACACGGAGATCACCAATTCAATCACACTTAATGGGGAAACTCTGGAAAATGTTGAATCTTTCACGTGCCGAGGAAGCATCATCGACGATCAAGGATGATCGGATGCAGACGTAAAGGCGAGGATTGACAAAGCAAGGATAGCATTCCTACAATTGAAGAACATATGGAACTCAAGACAACTGTCTGCAAACCAATATCAAAGTCACAATCTTCAATACGAACGTCAAGACAGTTTTACTGTATGGAGCTGAAACGTGAAGAATTACTACAACCATCATCAAGAAAGTACAAGTATTTATAAATAGTTTTCTATGCATCACGAGGCAAGCCCTAGCTTGGAGGAAGGCGAAAAAGAGGAAGGCCAAAGAACACATTACGTCGGGAACTAGAAGCGGATATGAAAAGAATGAATAACAACTGGAAAGAGGTGGAAAGGATTGCCCATGACAGGATTGGATGGAGAGTGCTGGTGGGCGACCTATGCTCCTCCACGAGGTGTAACAGGCGTAAGTAAGTATGTAAGTCGAGTGATTTAGAATCAGTTCCTTGACAGTTATATACAAGCCTTAATGACGAGTGCCACTTAGCATGAAATCTAATCTCAAGGCTACTTATCAGTTTCTCTCAGCTACCTAACATTCGGATATAGTATAATTGATGTCAAGTTACTTAGTCTGGCAACTGAACTGAAATTTATTTGATAACTGACCTTAATATCCATGTATATTGGTTATTTTGAACGTCTTATATGAAATGAAACTAACTCCATTATACAAATCATTGTCTATTTGGATTCGGTAACAGCGAGACTCTAATTTGTGGACGAGCCAATCAGAAGCGTTCGAAAGATTTCAAGGTTACGGCGCCAACTTCAGTGCTTAGTGCTAACGTAGGATCGGTTCACAGGGAATTTTGTACAAAACGCGATAATCGAGTGGCTATAACAAATAATACGACAAGACTATAATTTGTGGACGAATCAATCAGATATAAGATAATAGATCTCGGATTTTAACGCGAAAGTCTTTTATCCATTTGGCTAAATAAATTTCTGGCACTATAGTTGATGTAAGTTCTTGATGAAAACCCCATATATAATTCCTAACTGAGACAAATTATGACAATTATTGCGAACTGGATAATAAAAGCACCAGTAACACTGGCTACAGCCAGGTACTACAATATAAACGGATGATTAGAGAGCGTACAGACTCGTACATAGACTTGGTTATGTGCATCTTGTCGTTATCTACAAGTAGCATTTTGTGGACTCAACAACACGAGTGCACATAAACAATATTGAAGCTATGTGGTCGAGGCTGAAAGAGTTTTTGCGACCTTATCATGGCTCCAGAGACCGACTATTCTGTAGCCATATGGATGATCTCCTCTACTGCATACATTACGATTTTAGAACCTTGACAAGTTTTTGAACCACGTATAAGACGTGTATCCACTTTATTTCCTTGGCTTTGTATAACATATTTTTACTCTATACTGTCTGTCTGCTGATTGGCTAATATTTCTCAAAGTCACTCGAGATCCATTTAAAGGTCGTCCATTAATTAGAGTGTCGCCCTCAGTAACTTAGTGGTTAACACGACTGTGCTAAAAAACGAAAAGTACTGAGCTCTAGTCTCGGAGTGATTATCAAATTTAAGATGGAAGTACATTCAGCTGACGAGTCCCAAAACAGAATAAAAAAAAGGCATTCTAGATCCACCTACTAGCCTCCATACATCTATACTTATAATTACTTCAATATCATCATTAAATTTTATAGTAATCACTTTTTTTAATTTACTAGGTTTTGAATTATATGATTCATATTTCAAATCAGCTGAAGGGTTTTTATGGATATTTTTATAATTTCAATGGTTCAGATCATGAGTCAATCGAAACTAGACCACTATAGAAAATCTGAAAGCACTGGACAGGATCATGGATGCACATCGCTGAAGAGTCCGATAATAGGACGAAACGACCCTCCAGTGCTTCTAAGTTTTCTCTAGTGATCTATTTTCAACGATCTCATGATCTCAACCAATGAAATCATATTTCTAACTTGATTTCCAACCCCACCCCCCAAGAATCATTAGTATTACTTAAATAATGATATTTGTTTTATTGAGTAAAAAATTTACTATTCTACTTCTTTCTACTTTATTCTAGACATTGGGTAAAACAAAAATTATTATATTTCTCAATTCACTATCCAAATATTTTACTTAAAGCTCAACAATCCAATACAAATAATCGTCAAGAGTCTGAACATAAAGAAAGTGTTACTACAGGGACTAAGACGACGACCACGACGACGACCATGACGACCACCACCACCACCATGGCAACGAATTCAACACTTATATTCTTATCTCGTCTTGTTCATTTATTAAATCAATATCCTAAAAGATATAAACGTCATTTAATACATTATAATGATTATATTTTATTAAAATCATATCCATATGCATTTACAATGACTCGTTTAAATCAAAAAAATGTTACACAATTAATAAAACAATATCATAAACCACGTAAACATATTAATTCAATATTTGGTCATTATTCAAATTCATTTCTGTATCATATTATTGATTCATGTGGTTTATTTTCAATTAATGGTAACCATGGTACCTATTTATGTAAAAATATGAGTACTCATCATAATAGTACATATATGAAACCATTACAAAATGATACAATTAAATATATTCCATCAATGGATTATTTAATACCACAATGTAATCCAACTTGTGGTTATTTATCTAATCCACAACGTATTAAATTAATTGATATTTTAGCATTATATCAAGTCAATACAAATTTATTAGCTAATTTATTAGGTTTATCTATAACAACACTTAGAAATTATAATTCAGAACAACAAATGCATGCTCTATTTTGTAATCATCATTATCATCATCATAATCATAGAGTTAAACGTGGTTTAAGTCAATTAATATTACCACAACTCTTTATATGATTAGTTACTTACGTCTGTTACTCCTAATGGAGTATAGGCCATTGATCAGCATTCTTCAACCTACTCTGTCATGGGTCTCTGTATTTTTTTCTCTAGTTCCATCCAATTCTTGTTCATTTTATTCATGTCTATTTCTATTTCCTGGTGTAATGTGTTCTTTGGTCTTCTTCACCCCCTCCCCGATTGGCCTTGAAGATTCTGTGTGAGGATTTGTCTTGTAACACAGTTGAGTACTTTCCTCAATGTGTATCCTACTATCCATTCGCTAAATAATAAATGCTAATCAGAAAAGCAATAACTAAAGATAATACAAATCAATGAAATAGAAACATTTACATTTATACAAGATTACATGAATGTATTTTTTTTGGTTAGCGTTTTTTCTAGCGAGTTAGTTTTCTAAGAGATGGGGTTATTAACTCCATACTCAAACGTCCTCCTTTATTCGGGCTTAGGATTGGGAATAGCACTCCCAGAGGGGTTCCAGGTGGAGTTACATGATTACACAATACTTCTTTGAATCAATAAACCTATAATTTTCATTACATTTTTATCATCATGTACAAATCATATCATATTCAATTGTTCAATATCTATGTAAATCAATCTACTAGTTGTTTAAATACTTACTGAGTAATAATTGAATTCATTCTTCTACCTCTTCACTTTTTATTTATAAACTCATATTCAAAAACAAACAAACAAACAAACATTCAGATGGATACATGTGGATAGTCTTGATAAATGATCAAGTGAAATGTTCAATGAATGTTTATTTTATTCAATGTTCAATGTAACGCAATATTTTCAACTGTCTACCTCTCTTTCTCACACACACACACACACTCTCTCTTTCATATATATATATACATGGTACCATGGTATTTGTTTTCTTATTAAGTTGTAACATTGAACATTATTTTTTACTTTCAAAGTATTTAATACTTCTCAACTTGTAATGGTTTTTATTTAGAAGTATCCATGCTTCTTTTTCTTCTTCTTTATTATTATTATAATTTGTAATTTGATCATGTTTGTTTATATAAGTTAAAATATAGAAAACAAAGTATAAATTTATAGGTGAGATCATAATTTATGGATGATCGTTGAATGATGCTAAAGTGACGATGAGAATATCCACTTAATGACTACGAATCAATGAGGGTTATAAAGAAAATGAGAACTCGGATAATTAGAAGTATTTGAATTATAGTATAAACTAAGAATCACAGAAATAACGTAATCGAATCAAGAAGTACTCGATAAGCACTAACGAATTTACTGTATTTAAAATTCGAAATCAAGCATTCAACAAGTACAAAGGAATCATTAGTTCATTTAAACACCACATCCGCCACAGCTTAAATTGGAGTTTAAGTGTCTGTAATTGATTGTACGACTTATTCTTAAGTTCATTCCGTGTCTGTCCGACATTGTATTGGATAAGGACTTTGTATTATCTAGAATGCACTCATTTGTATTAGAATTAACAACCGAAATCGGAATAGACCCACCTGCTTCCCGGGATTGTGTAATCAGCATGTTGGCTGTGTACCGAAACCGCTGCTACCTAGAATTTTGAACCACACACTTTTAGACTATCCTACCGCACAAAATAATGTCGGATCTTTATATCCCCAAGTTATGAATGATATGGCTTCATTTAAAACATATTTCTCACATTGACTAGAGTAAATATTAGAAGTGACTCCGTGATAAGGATAAACAGCAGTTGATATGAAATCATCCGAATTGTAATTAAAATCGAGGTCATTTAGTACTTGTGCTTTGAATTGAACAAGTTCCCCACAAGAAACAAATGCATTATGGGGACAAATAATATTTCGTATGACATCAAGATTTGACTCTTCTGAAATAGTTTCCTCGACTTTATTAAGAATGTCATCGTAGAGTAAAGGATCATTGGAAAAATCAGCATCTGTCAAAAATACATCAGCTTGTCGATCATGACTAGGTTCATTCAACATATTTTCCTCAGATTTGTAAGAAATTTCATCAGAAATAAGTGAGTCACTAGGAAAAATCATATCTGGTACAATAACATGAGAAATCTAATAAGTCGAAACTGTTGTCTCGCAAAGACTCTGAACTGCTATATGACTGTAGACTGTCTTTTGAAATCGTCGATAAAGATAAATGATCATTAGGAACACTGGACTTAATAGAATCAGAATTACTAGACATAATATTTGTTGCAGCAAGATGAACAGTAGTATTACAAACTAACTGAATATGTCCAATATCACCACATTTAAAGCACTTAGAATCACGAAATTTACATGAATTAAAAGAGTGGAACCTACCACAGGACAAACCTTGACCAGAACTGTGCCCATCTTCGTGAACTGCATCGCAACTCCTCAATGAATTATCTGCATAACCTTGCGTATGCACTGGGTTGGGATAACGTAATGTAGTGGAATTTTTATATCCTCATGAATCGTTTTGCGAAATCTTCCTCATTTACCACATTTGAAAATTGTATACATAACATAGTCTAGCAATAGATCGTTGAGAGCTGTATAAGAAAGCGAAATGGGCTTCTCCGGTAAAGCCAGAGTTTTTAATAAGCTATATGCCTCTTTTTCGATGAATGTGAGGAAATGTGCTACAATATTAACATCCTCATCATCTTCCTTGGTCATAGCTCAAATTTCGAACCTTTCAAAGTAATCGTCAAAAGCATCAAGATCTGAATGTATATCCAACAATTCCATCACAGGCTCCATCGCGACGCCAATGTGATGATCAGAAATATTTGAATTATAGTATGAACTAAGAATCACAGAAATAACGTTATCGGATCAAGAGGTACTAGATAAGCACATACGAATGTATTGTATTTAGAATTCGAAATTAAGCATTCAACAAGTACAAAGGAATCATTAGTTCATTCAAACCCCACAGAACTGTGATTAGCATTGGATGGTTAAGGTTAGAAATCAAATTTAAGGTTTTCATCACGAACCGATATCAGCTATAATGTTAAAATCTTATTAAGCCAAGTGAATAAGTGAATTTCGCGCCAAAATCCAAAACCTGTTATCTTATATTTGTTTGGTTAGTCCATAAATTATAGTCTTGCCAATTTATAATCTTCATTTTAATTCATTTCGAGTATTGAATAGAGATCGGAAAGTGACATGACAGTCGAAGCTATACCTATATGCTACGCAAATAAAAAGTCTTGTGAATTTCCTTGTAGAGTTCGACAGCAAAATGAAGTGTAAACTTTAATACTTTAGCAACGAAATGAAACAGTATTAGATATCGTAATTTCATATTGCTAGTATGGTGCCTGCTACTCATATTGATATAAATAGTATATGACGCGAGTCAGGAATGTAATGTCTGGCAGCAGAAGATGGGGGAAGATCAAGAAAGGAAGAGCGGGAATAGAAAGCAATTACTAGTATAGGGGTTGTGGAGATTATTAAGTTTTTGATTGAGATCATGAACCGATTGATGTTAGACCATCACAATTGAAAACCTGGAAGCACTGGACGGCCGTTTCGTCCTATTGTGGGACTCCTCAGCAGTGCGCATCCACGATCCCGCGATCGGGATTCGAATCCAGGGCCTTCGGTCTCGCGCGGCTCAGTGGTCCAGTTGGTTAAGCGTTCGCGCGCGAGACCGAAGGCCCTGGGTTCGAATCCCGCTCGCGGGATCGTGGATGCGCACTGCTGAGGAGTCCCACAATAGGACGAAACGGCCGTCCAGTGCTTTCAGGTTTTCAATTGTGATGGTCTAACATCAATCGGTTCATGATCTCAATCAAAAAGAAAGCAATTAGTATGGAAATGCAAGAACAACGAAGTTCGCGACAATTAATGAACATTTTGCAAATTAAGTATTATAGTATGGTTTTTCTATTTTGCCAAGTAACTCTGTAATGTTGTGGGAAATATAATACGGTTGTCCTCATCTGTGTTCTCCTTCACTACACTAGTTGTAAAAGAAGGTCAGCTTAATTAGTCTCTTTCAACATATAGACTTATTGGAAAGATAACATAATAAAGTATCTAACGATACAATAGTGTCTAGATATATCAGAAATAAAATAAAATCCATATCAAATGTCTCATTGTTAGTTTTGATGGACCAATGAGCTTTTAAGAAATTGGAGTCATTCGAAATTTTGTTGCCGGCTAATTTGTTTTTCAGGTAACTTCTTATCACGATTGCCAAATGTAACAAAACACAGAATTGAATTACGAAATGAATTTGGACATTATATTTCATTTATGCAAATCGTTTGATCAGATGATGAACCAGGAAAAGTGGATATTTGGCATTTTAACCATGTGATTTGTGAGCTGACGTAATGATCGATAACTAATAGGAAGATTGATCCATTGATCAGCTATGTAATGAGCGAATTGACTTGAAAGTCAACTGATTTGTGAATTGTCGACTACAGCTAAAAAGCTTTGATGACAGTGAACAGAAAAATAAATAGTTTCATATATTTGTGAAAATGCATATGATGGAAAGTTGATAATTCTTTATATGAAAGTAATTCATAGGATCAGAAATCACCCATTTACTTGTCAAGCATTTGACCAGTTTTACTGAAACAGATTTGAGTATATGTATAGTTTAGATGCATATTATGATGCAGCTGTTACATCCTAACCGGTAATGTTCGGATTCTACATATCTGCGAATCATGTACTAAGCACACGTTCTTTCTCAGAGGTATATTCAAAGCACAACGGTTCTAATCATAAGGATTACAAAACTGTAGTGACCTACTTTTATCAAGGGAACGCGATTGATTTAATTGAAACAATTATCATTATAACCAAATGTACCAGTGATTGTTTCACTGTGCTCGTTTGTTTAACTGTGATAAAGACAGCTATATTCCTTCTTCATTACTATCCATTACTTTTACGCGGATTGTGACCTCGTACGTTTGTACTCTTGTCCGCTGATTCCACTTGTACCCTTTTGGCACGATCTCGGTATCCTTTCGA